CCGAGTCCAGCTGGCACACCCGAAGATCTCCTTCACCGGGTGGTTGAACTGGAGACGGATGGCCTGCGAGGTGCTGCCGGTGTGTGGTTCGGCGCCAGTGAACTGCACCTGGTCAATGAGATACTCGTGCATCTGCTGGGCAAACATGCGACGCTCGAGCGTGTCAAGGAAGATGTAGTTGACCAGGATGAGCATGTTGGAGATCTCGCCGGGCATGGCCAGCGTGGCCGGGTTGTTGGCCTCGCCCGAGCGCACGATGAGCTTGTCGAGCGCGCGAGTCCTCACGGTCAGCTTGGCCTCGTGGTACTGCAGGGCGATGAGGGGCAGGGGCCTCCGAGTAGTCCCTGTTGAACCAGAAGCGGGGCAGCACGTACAGGTGCTGGGTCTGGAAGCCGTACTCAATGAGCTGGCCCGTGGTCTCGGCGTAGCCCACCATCTGGCCCAGGCGCTTGCCGGAGCTCGACGTCAGCCGCTCCCAGATCTCTAGGAACTCTCCGGTGTGTTCGTCAAAGGTGTTGCCTCCGATGTCAATGCCCACTGTTTCAATCATGGCGTGGCCCACCGAGTTGGTGTAGTAGGCCGAGTTGTTGACGAAGCCGTCGTTGACCATGTCGCTGGCGTACTTGATGTGGCCCAGCTCGGTGTAGAAGTAGCACTGCGCGACAAGATCGCCAGAGCGCGCGATGGTCGCGGTGAGCTTGCGGCCGGCGCCAGTGGCGCCCGAGAAGGTGTTCTCCACCTCTACCATGGAGAACATGGAGTGTCGCTTGTAGGTCCCCTTGAAAAAGGTGATCTGCGGATCAACGGTGAGATAGCGGTTCTGGGGGCCTTGGGCGGCCAGCTGGGTGAGTGCTCCTGAGACGGGCATCTTGGGTTAGGGGTACTGGGTCAGCGGGGGGTGGTGGTCTGCGCGAGAGCTCGTGCTTGTCATGGCCACTCTAGAAAAAACGCAGCCCACGCGGCTCGGTTCGCCGATGAGCCAGTGCAGTGGAGGAGGAGGAGGAGGAGGAGGGTACGCACTCAAGTTGGTGCCTCCACTAGTTTTGCGACGCGGCGCCAGAGAGCGCGCGCCACCAAACACCGCCGTCACGTCAACCCAAAAACCAGAAAAAAAAAGAGCAAGCAACCTCCAGGGTGGAAGATGTGGGCTGTCAAGTCTCTAGAGGGGGAGCGTCCGCAGCTGGGGACCAACCTGTTCACCGATGTCAGGGCTGCCAAGGCCAAACTACTCTCGGCCAATAGTAGCGCCGCGCAACTTCGGTCCTTTGCCGACCCTCGTGCTGCCGCGGCCTGGCTCCTGGGCACAAGCCCTCTGAGTCTACAACAGAAGCAGAAGCAAAAGGAGGCCCATGATGTGATTGACATCTGGCGCAGCCCCTTGTTCGAGGCCGGACCGGACAAGGGTGACCCTCTGGCCGTTATTGTCGAGGGATCGGTGTCGTGCCTACAGACCGGCAGGTACGTGGGTGGCTACGAAGCCTGGTTTGAGGGCGAGAAGACCATGGCGAGCACGCTGAAGCTCCCGCGACCGACTGCCGATCGCGCGGCGCTCTACGGATGTTACGAAGCTCTGCGCAAGTGCGTCATCGACCACAAGACCGGCTCGCCCGGCGGACGACAGGTCATGCTCTGTACCGACAGCCCGGTGGTCTACGCAGCCGTCACGGGCAAGCCTATGTCCGAGCGGGGCGAGATGCCGTCCAACTGTACTGTGCTGGCGCGGCGCCTTCGCGAGCTGTGCGAGGAGCTTCCCGTCACGCTCCTACTGGCAACATCCTTTGCCAAGTCACG